ACTTCATACAGATGGTGATGGAGAGAGTTGCCAGAAGGGTTGAGGAAATTCATAGTGACAAAGATGAAAGACCTGTGTTAGTGTCATTTTCCAGTGATCATGACACCCAAGAGATTCTCAAAGGAATGATCACAAACCAGATATTCAAACAACAGCTTTCAACCATTTGGCTCTGTGGATGAAGATGATGTTACTTGAAGATTATTAACTACAACAAGACAGAGGACCACAGAGATCTACAGACTAAAGCCATAGAAGATATCAAGTGACATATTTTCTTGAACTTCTTTTCCTGACATATGAATTTAATGGGCATATGGAATCTGGGATTAATGGCCTTATAAAGAAAGAGTTTAAGAAAGATTTTTGGAGCATAGCAAAATCCCTAAAGTGCTTGAAAATTTCGGTGCACAAAATCTTTGTTGCAAAGGCAGAACAGAACAACTTTACTTAGTACCTGTGCTTTTTTATTAAAAAAAAAAAAAGTCAAAGCTGTGTCACTGGTGGAGATGTGTCTTAAGTGAGATAACCAAATAAAAGGTATACACAACTCCTCAAAGGCAATGAAAAAAAGAATTGTTAGCACTTACGAAGTCTAATCCAAGATAATAGACAGCAGAGACGTGTCAAAAAGCAAAAAATTCCAGTACAGTTCTGCTGCTGAAGGGAAACATTACAAGGTATTTCTCACTTTACATACCTCCCTGTCAGATGTATGTCACACAGTAGGACTGCTGAAAGAATGAAATATTTGTTCTGAATTACAAGGTATATGCATGTGCCCTCTGTGAATATTTATACTGATATCACTAAAAGTCAGGAGATCATAGAATCATAGCTGCACCCAGTGTGACACAATCCACACATTCTGAAATGATCTCAAAATAAAAATCTTCACTGGTGGAACTTGAGTCAATTTTTTGTTTTTGAATTCTGGCTTTAATCCTTAAATTGACAAGACAAATTTTAATATTCACTGCACAAAAAGGGCAAACAATAGCTTTAATTTCTTAGTTTATGTTATTGCAACTTGGAAAGCAATTTTTTTTTTTTAATGATGTTGTGCTGGAAGTCATGATTTTCCAAATATTGGAGCACTTGTTTATAGCTTGGTGTTTAATAACAGAGTATATTAAACACTCTGCTCTAAATTTACCAGTTCTTGGATCTTTACCAAAGTCTCTATAGAGTGCTGCTCCAGGAAAACACTATCCAAGCTCTGATGACAGACTTTATATTTTCAAAGCATTAATAAAATGCAATATTAGAAATATACTGGGAAGAGGTGATTAATTGTTATCAAGAAGCAAAGTGTCAGACAAGCCTTAATTACTGTAGTCAATCTCATCCCAGATCTGTGTTTTATATTTACTTCTTTACTATCTGCTTTTATTTTAGTTGTACAGAATATGCACATTAGAAATGTTCTTGAAGGACACACAGATTGTCAAGCAATACTCAGTGACTGATGATTGCCAACCTTTCTAGATGATACTTTGATACCAGACTATGTTTACCATACTCCACTGGTGCACTAGAATTAGACACATGTATTCCCACCTACCTCTTGAGTTACTGACATCGCTAAAAAGAAGGCCACTTGTTGAGGTGCCTTTAGTTAAGTGACTAAATTGAGACCCCACGTGGCGTGCCTATTACAAAATAGCAAGAGCTTTTTCCTTAATAGGCTCCCATGAAAGCCAACGGGAGTTTAGCCACAGAATTCAAAAGGGACAGACTGCACTCAACTAGTGGATTGTGTAATAGCTTTTATTTTGAAGCAAGATTTTCTGGTACTTTTTCCTCAGTAAACGACTGAAAACACAAATTAATAAATCTTCTCATTAAACTGCTTAGCAATATTACAACATTGGCGCTGGGATAAAAACAAGCAAAAGAAAGGCAATTACAAAAGCGGAAAAGAAACAAAAGCAAAGGAAGAAAATGGGACAAGAAGGTGGACTCTGCCTTTGGCTGTTGGTTTGGCTCCTTGTCTCTCTTGAGGCAGCCCTTTGGGGAGCCAGGCTAGGCAGCAGATTTCAAAGGTGTTGATAAGCCTGGCAGACCAGTGATTTCAATTTGTACCCCAGAAACAATGCCAGGCAACTGTAAATGACACTAAGATTCTCCACTTTATGACAGTTCCAGGATTAGGGATAAGTTTTTGCTTTAAGTCCAGTATAGACTCCCTGCTAAAAGGCTCAAGATTACTTAGACAGTGAGCGATTTCAAACTATAAGCCATAAGCCTTGTTTATTTTGCCAAGATAAAAGCAGCAGAAATCTTTTGAAAGGTGGAAAAGCACTTCAGGAAGCAAACAAGAGAAGCGTGACATGGACCCCACTCAACCATCTTTCTTTCAAGGGGATGTATGATCTGAAATCTCTTCAACAGTTTGGATATCTTCCATCACTAATTTCAAGGCATTTTAAAAATGTTGTTCATGTGCAGAAAAAAGACAGCACCGTTCAACTTGCACAAAAGTAATAACATATCACTTTTTCCCAAATTCTTCCTTTCCAACTTGGGCAGGCTTCTTTCAATAAAGCAAAAATAGTCCATTCTTTTGCTACTTAAGTTCAGCATCACACTGTAAACAGAATCAGCAGGAAGGCATTATCTTTAGCTACATCACCAGCACCAATGAACATAACCTGTCCATCCAACTCAGTAAGAGATCATAAGTTTCTCACATAGTCATGCTGCTATTTTGTCATTGGCTTCACTGGAAATTAGTATCAAGCCTTCACTTGATAATTTCATGTCTGTTCTACAGCTGTAAGCTATCGCTAACACAGTTTCTGATGCCTCACGAATTAGAAGATCTGCCTAATGAACATCACCTTAGAAGATTACTCTCTTTCATATATAGTTTATTACGTCTTCACAAGTGAAATATATTGGGGTTGAAGTTACAGTTGTAACAGAATACACAGTGGTTAATGTGCAAAATATTTTATTTTTCTTCAGTAGTTCTAATGGAAGCCTTCAAAAACTGGAATGGAGAAGAAGAGGGAAGAGGGCAGCTTCCCTTTAAGGCTTCCCATACATTAAACATCCATTTTGATTTCATTATGTCAGTACCTCATAGAGGGGGAAAAAAAACAAACAAACAAACAAAAAAAAAACAGCCACTCTCAACAATATCAAGACCTTAAAAGAGAACAAAAATATTTAAAGTCTTTTTCACTTCTCTTTTCTGTCTTCTCAGCAAGCACCAGTAATAAAAAATGCATCAGTGACTCTAAAAGACAGTGTGTTCTGAAATACATGTGACTAACAACTAAAAGTCCTTTTTGTATTTTTTCCCTTCTCTCGTGGCCTAAATTATTAACTTGCAGTATGCCACACATAACTTAGTCTGAAAATAAAATTACTCTGTACGTAGCATTTGTAAACTGTTGCCAAACTGGTTACTTGAAGTTACTTAAACTATCACTGTTTAATCTGAGTAAAGTTAAAAAGAAACAGCGGGCTTGCTGTACACATACAAATATTGGGACAGGAGGAAGACAATAATAAAAGTATTATCAGTCTTACTATCTATGTCTCTTGTGTTTGTTTAAGCAGCTTCTTGCCAATCTCAAAAGTCATTAAAGTGGGATGCACTGAATTCTGGCTGCAACACCTCCAATCAGTCTCCTGTAGCAATCAGACTCCTACTATCCACTACATACTCCAGTATAAACTCAAGTTAATTCTTTTCTTCAGCCTTCTTCTCCCACCACGTCATTAAAGCCCAACAAGTCTTCCTATAGAAATAAATGCTTTAGAAAAAGTCATGCTGAGAACAGTGCCTTACACTGCTGCTTCCTGGACAAAGCCACAAAGAGAGAGCACAGAACCTCAGGGAAGTCACTGGGGTGCTGTCTGGGTGAAGGAAAATTTTCACATGGAAGAGATTATATAATTATAGAATGAAGCCAAGCAATCTGTTAATCCATCATAGGATCATATAGTTTGCATATGTTGTGCAGCCACATACCTTTCAGTTGGGACTGGTACGTTAAGTTCATCTTTCTAACGCTGATCAGTTAGACCACAGATGCTGAATTAAGTGGGCCTTCAGGAGTTGGTCTTCTTGCCCTTGAGTGACTACAGAACCAAGAACAAGTGTACGAGTAGTAAAATAAATCAGGAACTGAAGCACAATAGTTAAAACAGGACCCTATATGGACTCTTTATCCCACATTGCTTTAGTTATTTTTTGCCATTTGAGCAGATTTTTTATTTTTATTTTTATTTTTTTTTTAAATCACTGCAGACTGTGTCTAGGTTTTCTTAGAGTTCTGCCAGAAATAAGAGCTGGGGCATGTTTATTTCTGAGGGTAGATCCAAGAGAGGGAATAAGGTCAGCCAGCTAGCAGGCATTAGCATCCAAGGAAGTGAAAGAGGACATGAGCAAGGTTTATGAATCCACAGTTTTAAAAACAGAAATGGATTTGTCAGTAGCCATTTCTACAGATACACTGGAGTGGGGAGGGAGGTTGGTGGGATGGATGCACAAGTGGAAAAGAATTTGAATTTCTGGAGTTCCTTTTTTTTTTTTATTTCTTTAAATACAACTATTCTAAATCATAATCCTGAGCAGAGACTAAAACTTCCAGAAACATGGAAAGCTACTCAGTATTTCCTCAGAGCTGCACAGTCCTTGTGGAAGGGTAGGAACCATTAAAAGAAAAATGATCAGCAAGGCAGTCATGCTCTTTACTTTAATAGCGGAGCTGAAGCTAGTGAATACTAGCTTCTTGGGGTTTTTTGTTTGTTTGTTTAAGTAATTGTAGTTCAGGAATGGGTGTAATTACAACACAAGAAGCTTCCAGCAGACTGCAACCTGCCTCCCACCGCCCAGAGATATTCAGCAGGAACTGTCTGATCCTCAGTTACAGTCTAAACACTTGAACATCCACTTGAATGAGTCCCTACTCATCTGCTTCCGCAGAAGCCATCTTGAGATGGAAGGAAGAAAATAACACCTTACCAAAAAGAAGGCTACTTACATCAAGGTTTGATGTGGTTGCTCCCAGGGGAGCTTTAACTGCTACTAAAGGCAGGGGAAGGAAGCGGGCATCTTCTCTGGGGGAGGAATGACACATATGGCAGCTACTGCTGAGAGTGCCTACAGTTTGTGCAGAGCAGTAGTTGGTACTGGTTATCTCAAGGGTCAGTTGCACCACTTGAAACGTTCTGGTTTTCAATACAGCTCTAGTCAAACATAGTCATCTTTGATCCCTGGCTACTAAACGTGGCAGTGAGTGCTCTGCAGATTGAAAAAAAATGATAAAAAAAGATGAATGCTGATTATAAGCATTGTGTTCTAACAGCATTATGTATGTTGGTGACAATTCAGCATGGGGGTGGTGGGAACACGAATTTTCAAGACTATTTTAAAGACTTTCAAATTCAGAAAGGAATTTGCTTCCCTTTTTTTTTATTGTTGTTCATTTTCAGCTAGATAAAGATCTGTCTAGACAGTTAACTTACATTAATGACTTCAATATCATTACAACTGGATCTAACAAAATTTTCTCAGCGCCTCAAAAATAGGTCAGTTTTTGACAGTGGGAGGACATCTCATGTCCAAGATCTGGCTGAGTTATCCTTCTAATGCTGGCCAAGTATGGGAAGGGAGAGAAAGTCCTCCCACTCCTCTCTGAATATCTCCTAAGAAGGCCCTTCAGAGTTTGTGATTTATCATAGAACCGTTTGAGTTGGAAGACACTATTAAAGGTCATGCGGTCCAGCTTGCATGCAATGAACAGAACAGCTCCATCAGGTGCTCAGAGCCCTGTCCAGACAGAGCTTGAGCATCTCCAGGGACAAGGCATCCACCACCTCTCTGGGCAACCTGTGCCAATGCCTCACCATTTACCTCTGAGCAATTAGGTGCAGCAACAGAGTACTTCCTCTCTCAGCAGCTGGGCTTTTTGGTCAGTGTTCATTTTCAGGATAATTTGCACTGTTTATTTTATTTTGCTTCAGTTGAGAAAGCAAATGTCTGTTTGATTCCAGAGGGGAAAAAAAAAGCCAACTTTGGTGAAGGATACTGTAAATACTACACAGGAATCAGTTTTTAATCGGATAAAGCTATTAAGTAAGTATTTATGGAGTCTAGATTTACAAGCTTGTAAAGATGCTCTACTCACATTCTGATGGCCAGGTCATGAGAATTAATAAAGTTCAGATTTTGGTGCTGAGAGATAAGCCATTGTACATTCCTTTGAAATATTGCATATCTCATGCTGAACATCTGATTTTTGAGAAAACTGTATTGCCTTTATTGCAGCACAAAAATCAAAGAAACAAATTTTAATTGCCTAACCTAGTTTTTAAATCCAAAATAATTTACTCTTCAGGAAAGAGAACAGGAAAGCAAACTGAAGCAAACCTATTCATCCTCACTGCAGATGCAAAAAATGCATTTCCCTTCATTCTCCATTCTTTTCCTAGCTCAAGATTAATCTTGCAATGAAAGAAATGAATCAAAAAAATTGATCTGTAAGAAATTTCAGGCAAGAGAAAGATCAACCACAGCATTAGTCTGTCCTGCGTGGATTGGAATTTTCAGACAACTACCATTAACTTTTTTTATAAAGGAAAATATTGATGTTTATTAATTGATACCAGTAAGAAAATTGCATTGACTTCTCATAGGTCTGAAGAAGATCTGGCCAAAGTAAACCCAGATTTGGAACTCTGACTAGTGATATTTGATACAAGTTATAGGTTATCAGAACAAGGATAAGGAGAAATCCCTGGTGTAAAGAGTATGTTATTCAACTAGAACTACTGGTTTTATACATCTGAGCAGTAAGTCAAAGAAATGTTGAAATGAGCTTGGTACAAGTAATTCTGTTATCACATCCACTGAAATGGACACACAAAAAGACATAATTCAGAATATCCCTGATCCACTACCATGAATATTTTACAATCTCAACCCAGGAATCTGATTTTGCTGCCTAAATTAGCTACACGTTATACCTTTTGTAACCAGTTCAGGGACAGGGTTTCTCCAGCAGCACAGACCCAATGCCTTTAGGTTAGATTTTTGCACTGCACTTCCATAGAAGGAATAACTTGCATACAGAATGCGAATTTAGAAACATGGATGATTTTGAAAAGTTATACTAAGGAACTACACCACTTCTTCAAGACCAGAAAAAAAAAATCTATGCTTTTGCAAGTGTCCTGGATTCTTGTCCCAACTGCTGTCTATTTCAAAGAAGCTGTACAATTATGTAAATCCTACTGAGCTGAGAAGCACCAAAAATATGGTCTGTTGAATTCTTAGCTATTAGTAATATTCAATTAACAAACAAGTTAAGCTGTGCAGACAGAAGAGTCATTTGCAAAGAGTAAAACCAAAGACATTCTAGTTTTGAAAAATATTTGTATACTTTCCTTGTTCACTTTCTAAAAACATGCATGGCACTGAAGAACTGGTATGGTGATGGAAATAAGGCACTGGTCATTCCATTACAAGATGCCAGTAACATTTGCTACTGTAAGTAAAAGTACCTCAGACATTTAATGTGCAATTCAGTGAACTGGCATATTAGTAATGGCACAGTTTATTTCAAAATTTAAAAAGGTGTTTGTATTCCACATTCAATTCAAAATAAAAAGACAGTTCATCAAATATACTTGTTATGAATTTCTCAACTAACCCAAGAATGTGATTTTTTTGTTTGTTTGTTTTCAAGAATGACCTTTAAATAATCATAAATACAAAATACAACCACTGCAGGCTAGATACCTGTCTGTGAAACATTTTGTCTCAATGTATTTTCTTGGGAATGGTTGCAGTTCTGCAGTTGCGCAGAACACAAGTTGCCTTTTTTGAGTACACAAGTAAATTCCAAATGTACAACAACTTCTTCAAAATTAAGGGCAAAAGCACAGAAAAGCTACTCAAGAGGACACCTGTTCTCTTAAGCAAGCATGTAATAAAAACAATTTTTCTCTATCATAGCAACACACAAGAAATCACTAAATCAAGGCATTCTTTCTGTCCACCGCTGTTCCGCAATTATTTTTTTAGCTCACCTTACTCCTATCCATTTGTCCAGGACTAACTGAATAAGAAGACAGACTGCATTCAGTCTGGCATTCAGAAGGTATTCCAGACTGATGTCAGACTGAGTATATGAAGGATGCAGACTAGTTTAAGTTTGCAGATGACACCAAGTTGGGAGGTTGTGTCGATCTGCCTGAGGGCAGGGAGGCCCTGCAGAGGGATCTAGATAAGCTGGATCGCTGGGCTGAAGTGAATGGGATGAGGTTTAACAAGGCCAAGTTTCGGGTTCTGCACTTTGGCCACAACAACCCCATGCAGCGTTACAGGCTTGGGGATGAGTGGTTGGATGATTGTGAAGAGGAAAGGGACCTGGGGGTGTTGGTTGATGCTCAGCTGAACATGAGCCGACAGTGTGCCCAGGTGGCCAAGAGGGCCAACGGCATCCTGGCCTGCATTAGAAATAGTGTGGCCAGCAGGAGCAGGGAGGTGATCATCCCCCTCTACTCAGCACTGGTGAGGCCGCACCTCGAGTATTGTGTTCAGTTTTGGGCCCCTCACTACAAGACATTGAGGCCCTGGAGCTGTCCAGAGAAGGGCAACGAAACTGGTGAGGGGTCTGGAGCACAGGGCTTATGAGGAACAGCTGAGGGAGCTGGGACTGTTCAGTCTAGAGAAGAGGAGGCTCAGGGGAGACCTCATTGCACTCTACAACTTCCTGAAGGGAGGTTGTGGTGCAAAAGGGTCTGGCCTCTTCTCCCAGGCAAATAGTAGGACCCAAGGAAATGGCAAGAAGTTATACCAGAGGAGGTTTAGGTTGGATATTAGGAGAAACTTTTTCTCTCAAAGGGTGGTCAGGCACTGGAATGGCCTGCCCAGGGAGGTGGTGGAGTCGCCGTCCCTGGCAGTGCTCAAGAGGCACCTGGATGAGGAGCTACGAGAGATGGTTTAGTAGCTTGTGGCACTGATAGGAATGGGAGGGTGGTTGGACTGGATGATCTTGCAGGTTGTTTCCAACCTTGTGATTCTGTTATAATTGTAGTACTAAAACAAACTGTGCTTGGGTTAATACTTTCCACATTGCATTTCAGTCCACAGTAATTTTTTCTTACTTTTGAGCAAAATCAGTTATGCCAGCTTTTTTGTGCTATTAGCAGAACTGTGTTTTTCCCCATATAATTTGTATCCTGAAGTGTTTCGGATAAAGCTGAAACATCGGATGCTAGCTAACTTGTAGACCACAACAATGATTCAGGAGACAGCCCAAGGCTGAATCTCATGGATTTGCATTTCTGAACTAGAACTATTTTATGCTAGCATGTTTGTACTACTAGATTTTGCACCACTAGACGAGGGAGCTGGGACTTCTTAGCCTGCAGAAAAGGAGGCTCAAGGGAGACCTTATCACTGTCTACAACTAGCTGAAAGGAGGTTATGGCAAGGTGGGGGTCAGCCTCTTACACGTAACTAGCAATAGAACTAGAGGGAATGACCTCAAGTTGCATCAGGGTAGATTCAGGTTGGATATTACAAAAAATTTCTTCTCTGAAAGAGCAGTCAGGCACTGGAACATGCTGCCCAGTGAGGTGGTGGAGTCACTGTCCCTGGAGGTGTTCAAGAAACATTTAGATGTTATATTGAAGGACACAGTTTAGTGGGGAAATACTGGTGGTAGGTGGACAGTTGGAAAGGATCATCTTGAAGGTCTTTTCCAATCTTGGTGATTCTATGATCTTAAAGTCCTGCTTTTATAGGGAGAATTTGTTCAAGTTTCTTCTAAATAACAATGCTGCCATTATACAAATACACTTTTAAAATGCATTTGCTAAGAAAGCTTTAAGTTTCCTATCTCAGTTTCTCTCGCTCTTCATTCCTTTTTCAGTTAAAAGAACTCCAAGTAAAAAAACCTCATTTCTGCCATCTTCTGATTAGCTCCCATCTGTGTGAAGTGAATGGAAGATAATCACGGTCAGCACCTGGATAAACAGACTTACCTGCCACATCAAGAAAAGTACTGAGAAATATTGAGAAAGCAAAAACATAAGTGAACAAGGTTATATTTAGTGGAAATGCTTCTTACTGATTTTAGCATTTCAACTTTAGAACTAAGAGAGTAAATAAAAGCTTTTTTTCCCCCCAGTACACAGAGAAAACAAATTAAATTGTTCTTGCTGTTCAGATAGAGAACACAGGGTTCATAATATAAGTTAGGAATATTCATTAGGCAGCAGTGTCAATCCCGGAGGTTACCCGAACGGCACAGTTACTGCCAGAAACGATACATATCTCAGAAATTTGTGGTAGGTTGGATAAGTGTAAGAGATTATTCTTTTATGCCATTGCCTGAAAGGTTGCAGGGGACACAGATGAATAAGTCCAAGCAATCCTTTGTCTGGAGAACACTGATGGATGAGTCCTAGGCCAGGTTGCAAAATTCTTTGTCCAAGGGACACAGATGGACAAGGGCAGGGGCAACAGAGAGAGAAAGCTGCAGATTAATGGCCAGGAAGCAGTCCTTTGCATAGGCTTACCTCGAGGAAGATGGCTATCTAAAGAGGTACCACACATAAAACCTATCCCAGAAATGCCATGTTGGCAGAAGAAGGATAAGAAAGGGACAAACAACCATGAGAGTAGGTTTTTTGGACATGAGAAGCCTCAAGTCCTGCTCCTCTCCCTCCTGGACCTATTATGTCACTGCACCTTCTTGCTGCCTAAGGCCAGCCGTGCTGCTGCTCTCCCCCAAAATGTTTTCTGACAACAGATTCCTTATGATGTGATGTCTGCATGCTGAAGAAGAACAAGAGCTGTCTGCCATCAGAAGCCTCATGAGCTGATTTCTGCAGGCTGATGGGCTCTCCTTGGCCTGCTACCTGAATCCTGC